TATGATAAAAACGAACTACTTTGCATCCTGTTAATTTATATATATTATTCTTTTATATTAGTTTTAGTTTATATATATCATATGTAACTATCGTATTTATTATTATTATTATTTATTGATTTATTTTATTTTTATTTATTGTTTTATTTTATATAATTTACGTAACATTGTGTATATTATTTATTTTTAGTAGTACTAATGTATGCACTAAGTTTGCAATTTCAATATAATTTCCTTTATGGGTCTACTGGAAGATATTTCAGCTAATTTGGAATAAGTAGAACCTTTGTACGTAATTACTATAAGACTGCATCTGTATCTTAATGTGTGTACATAAAATAAATTAAAAAAAAAACGAACTGTCAAAATCTACTTTTTAAATCTTCATAACTTTTGTCCACTACTGCGTAGCTAGATGCACTTTTCTGATTCTTTATATAAAAGATCTGTTCTTTCAAAATGACATAGATTTCATCTCTGTACAAGTTAAATGTTCCTTGAATTTCAGGCAAGATGGGTTGATGAGTGTAAATTTTTAATATATGAATATATTTTACCATTGATGCAATTTTATTAAAATTGCAAATAAATACAAAAAAGCAACGCAAAAAAAAGCGAACATCAATGCTGTTTAGTAATACTCGTACCCGCAAGTCAATGACAAAAAAGAGGTTTTCGTTCCACAATCACTTTGAACCATCTTATATCGTATTATATACTTACCACTGTAGTTAATGTTTGATTACTTTCATATACTCCTCGTAGGAAACTATCCATCGTTTCGAATGGGAACCAATTAGTTGTATACACGCCCTACGTGCCAGCTCCGGATTTCAAAGACTTTTTATACTTGTTCAAACGGGTTCTACAATAACCCATTAGCCTTTCTTTCTTTTATTTAATTTCTTCAATGGATATTTGAAAAGGTAACAGTTGCATAATTCGTAGTCATTTTGCGATGTACGATTTTTAGGGTTCCGTAGTCAACTAGGAACCCTTATAGTTTCGCCATGTCTGTCTGTCGGTCTGTCCGTCCTCGCTTAATCTCTGTGACCGTTAGCACTAGAAAGCTGAAATTTGGTACCAATATGTGTATCAATCACGCCGACAAAGGGGTAAAATAAAAATTGGAAAAAAATGTTTTATTAGGGTAGCCCCCTATATGTAAAGTGGGAAGTGATTTTTTTTTAATTTCAACCCTAACGTGTGATATATTGTTGGAAAGGTATTTAAAAATGAATAGGGGTTTACTAAGATCATTTTTTGATAATGTCAATAATTTCGGAAATAATCGCTCCAAAAGTAAAAAACAATGTGTTTCGTCCCCCCCCCCCTCTAACTTTTGAACCATAATTTTAGAAAATATGAAAAAAAATCTGAAAAGTAGTACTTTATAAGGACTTTCTAGGAAAATCATTTTGAACTTGGATGGAAAGTCGGAGCGCCTGTCGCGGAGCGTGCAATGTGTTCGCACACGTACCCGCTACCGGGAGCAGTTGCAGGAGCGCGGAGCGCTGCTGGAGTGCGAACATAATGGATACCCACCTTTAAACTCATAAGTGGGAACACTTATTGTGACGGACGGGAAACTACGGAACCCTACACTGAGCGTGGCCCGACACGCTCTTGGCCGGTTTTTTAAAACTATTCAGTTTAGGATCTCACAAACATGGCTCTGTTTGCAGGATCTCGAGAAATGTTGTAAATTTTTCATTACTCCACTCCATCGCAGCCACACGTGCAACCCCGTTGCACTCACCGTGCACAATGAGACAAACGTAGTGTGGCTGCCTTATGCCTTTGTAAAATTATCGCGTTAATTCGTGGCCACACCTATATTCAACCACTCTATCATAGGCCTTTTCTAGATCTACGAAGGCGCAGTAGACTTTCTTGTTTTTAGCCAAACACTTTTCGGCTATGCACCGCAAGGAAAAGACCTGATCCGTACATCCCATTCCCTTTCTAAATCCTGCTTGTGCATCCCATACTTTCTCGTCTGTTTCATTCACAACCCTTTCAATCAACACTTTCGCATACAATTTACCGACGACGCTAAGAAGGCTTATACCACGGTAATTTATGCAGTCCTGCCGTGACCCTTTTACCTTATACAATGTCACGATTACGGCTTTGCACCAGTCTCCCGGCACTTGCCCATTTCGCCAGCACAGATTGAAAAGGCGGTACAGCTGACTAGCCACCAGGCCCTGTCCAGCCCTCAGCATTTCGACGGTAATCCTGTCATACCCTGCAGCCTTACCTAATCTCATACTTTTCAACGCTTTCACTATTTCATCCATGCTTATCTCATTTTCATCAACATTTATATTCGTTTCCGTGGAAGGTGGCAGATGCTGTACCTGCACTTCCTCTCTTTCAAACAAACTTTCAAAATACTCTTTCCATCTCTTTAACACACATTCTTCTCCTTTTATAATGCTCCCATCTTGACTCCTGATTGTACTCAGCTCCGAGGTAGAAGTTTTTCCTCTGGCTGTTTTGATGGTTTTCCAGAAAAACTTAATGTTTGACTGGAAATCTTCAGTGAGCCTCCTATCGAAATCATCTTTTCGTTCTTCTTTCTTTCTAGACACAGTTTCTTTCGCTGCAGTTTTCAATCTTTTATACTTCGTTCTTGCTTCCTTTATCTTGTCATCCGTTGCCTTTTGAACTTTTTGGTTAGCTTTTGTTGCTAACCAATCCAACACGCTTTCTTCTTTTCTTGCACAACCCTTTGTACATCTTTATCCATCCACACGTTATCATTCTTTCTCCCTTTCCTTCTTTTAGCTACCCCGCATACCTCAATCGCAACATTTACAACCCCTTTCTTAAATGTCTCCCACAAATCTTCAATCACTCCTATCTCTTCTATCCCTTTAAAACTTTCTTTCAGTTTCTCTACATACTCGTCTTTCTTTTCTTTTTCTTGTAGATTTTCCACTTTTACTCTGTCCAAAACACTCGTAGGCTCGGCCCCTCGGTGTCGCCACCGTTAAAACACGCATTCGGGCTATGACCAGGAAGTGGTTTGTGTCGAGGCCTACACCGCGGTATGCCCGAGTGTCTAGCACTTTCTTCCTCAGTCTTTCATCCACAATTACAAAATCAATCATACTTCTAGACTCACCCTCATCTCTTGAATACAAATGGATCTTTTTGTGGTCAAACAGTGTGTTGGCCACGCACAGATTCCATTCCAAGCATACTTCAAGCAGGCTTCTCCCATTGTCATTCACTCTCTCGTCCCCAAACATACCCAGAACTCCTTCATACACATCACGTTTTACTCCAACCCATCCATTAAAGTCCCCTAACATCACGATCCGTTCATTTTCTCCGCATTTATTCAAGACCTCTCTCATGCTATCCCAAAATTCCTCTCTCTCTTGTTGTGATTTTAGTGACCCACCTCCCCGCAGATCCGTCGGTGCATAGACCCCAAGGATAAACAAGCGGGTGAGTCCGACTATTAACCTAATCCAGAGGAGTCTTGGGCTTACACATTCATGCTCCATCACACATTCAACCATTCGAGATGAAAGAATCACACCAACTCCCTGACAGCCTCGGCTGGTTTGGGGGACTCCCGACCAGTATGCCGTGTAGGGGCCATGAACCGTGGTGTCACATCCTTTCCTCTTGGTTTCGTTCACGCACAGAATATCAATGCAACGTTCATCCATCATCTGACATACTCCATCTACCTTACCATCCATCCCTCCTCTTACATTCAACGTAGCGAAGCGGCTCTCCGTGGGCCGCTTTTCGCCCCCGCGAGAAACTTGACGTGATGGGTGGCGAACCACATCGCCGCCATTTTGGTTAATTTTTTGATTATCCATTGCGTTCCCACGAATAGCGAAGGAAAGGTTTGTCCCCCATCAGAGCCCCGCATGCCAGGGTAAGGCTAGCCTAATTCTGGGGTCGCCCGGTCCCAGGGCAGTGTGGCACGCTAACGACTAGGCTCGCCCCTAGCCATGCATCCATCCGCGCGGCCGACGTTGGATTGGCGGAGGGTAGGAATTGGAAAACGGGAAGGATAGGTGGTGTGAAAAGGAAGAGTAAGGTAAGTTAGGGTAGGAAATAGGAAATGTAGGACATTACCGTCCATGAGGGCAAGGGATAGGACAGTAATAGCTAGGGAAGCCGGGGTCGCATACCCGTATACTATACCACAACTACTGGACAGGCAAATTGGGGTGAGTATCCCTCGACTAAAACTACTCAATAAAAGATAAAATTACTGTTAATGATGATCTTCAAAGCAAGTCTCTTCTGTCGACTGGTCTTCCATGCCTACACAAAACTTCCTAACAACTTGGCTTCCTAAATCTTTCTCAACTATATTCCAAACTTTCCCAGTATATATTTCAAAATGAAGACAATAGCCAGTAGATGCACACTTTGTCCAACTCTTGTATCCTCGTTTCGTTGGTTTTTGTTTGTTGGGCATATACTGCCTGAGCGAACTCCTTCCTTTGAATTTCACCATTGACTCATCTATTGCAACATTCTTTGTAGGGTAATAGTTTTTTTATGAATGAGTCTCTAATTTTATCAATAAACGGTCTGATTTTGTACAATTTGTCATAGTTAGAATCTGTCCTACTAGGAATCAAGATTTTATCATTCATAAGTTCTCTAGAATCCAGAAAAATTTCGTCAGTGATGATATTGGTACGAGCTTGAGCATAATTGGAGCGGAGAGGCGAGATACTTAGGTGAGGAAGAGAGGTGTTTAACATGGTCACGCTCCCGTTTTGAACAGAAGCTACCCCTCCTCGATATGCTACATATCTTGGCCTGCAGGGTACAACCGGGCTCTGGCTAAGGATTTCCTCAGTTGCGGGGTCCTGTGTGGTTTCGGGATGTGTCCTCTGAGATCCAAAACCACACTTTGGGGTGTTGATGACATAATGGAGAGGGGATAAACTCCCACTTGTCCACCATGTTGCATCCCCACACCATGAGCACGGGTCCGTCAGCATCTGCTACTAAGTTGTCCTTGTCCAGTAACTGGCCAATGTGGTAGGTGCTGAGCTGGAAGACATCCAAAACAGGGTCTTGATTTGTGATATGATGTGACATAGTATCCTCGTGTCTCTTGATAGTCGAAGAGTTTCTTCTTCCAAATACATGATCTTTTGGATGTCTTCGGATGTGTCTCTCTGGGTTCGCCGAGGTTTAGGATTGGTCTTGGGAGGAATCCATCTCAGCCTCACCATCTCACCCGTGATGCTGATGAATCCTGAGTCCCAACCCTCTCCTGGGATGGCGGTTTCTTGCACCTTATATAAGGTCATGGAAGAGGGATCGATACAGTAAGATGAAGTGCAAAGCGCGTCTGTAATTAGCTTGGATGTTTGACTCCGTTCCTCCAACTGATGGAGGGCTGACGTGTGTACAAATAAGACTCCTGAGTCTGTCCAGCATGTGTAATCTTTGCATGATGCCTTTGCGCCTTCTATAAAATATCCTCCTGGGCTGTTTTCCATCATGCCCATGGACCTCCGGCATACTTTCTTGCTGGTCGTCACTGAAGAAGGCCAAGCCCACTCACAAAGGGATAGCAGATCTTGGGGGTTGTTGTATTGGAAATGTCCGTCTGGGCATCCTGGATCGGGAGAATCCACAGGGTTTATCTTTACTGGAATAAGATTATGAGTCACACTGTACGATCCCCATACGAAGTAGTGGGTGGTGCATATGAATTCTTGGAGCACAACCACCCACCCCTTGACCCTGTACGTCTTAACGTGATCTGTTGTAACGTTCAACACAGCCGGAGTCCCACTGGTATCATCGCAATGGCTGGGCTCATCCAGCCAGTAGAAGGCTGGCTCCTTGCTCCTATCACACAGGAGGGCGGACTCGGCTAGACGGATCATAGCCAGGAGTGCTGATAGCACACAGGAGATGTTCATGGTGATGGTCGGTTTCACACATACGTCGGTTTGGGTTTTTGCTTCCTTCATTTGGGTTTCAGCTTCCGACAGGCGGTTGTCATGTTGAGCAACCCTATCCTTCACCTCCCTTATCTCTTTCCCAAAGGTAGCATGAAGGTCCTTCATAAGGAGCATCTGCTCTTCCAACCGACGGGCCAGTTCCTCTTGTCCGCCCCGCAGCTGCTCCTCCAAACGACGGACCTGTTCCTCCTGTCGGCGGACCTGTTCCTCCTGTCGGCGGACCTGTTCCTCCTGTCGGCGAACCTGTTCCTCCTATCGGCGGATCTGTTCATCCTGTCCACCCCGCAGCTGCTCTTCCAACCGACGGACCTGTTCCTCCTGTCGGCGAGCCTGTTCCTGCAGCATCACCATCAGAGCACCTAAGTCGGGTGCTGCAGATGTAGGAGCTACCGACGGGCCTGCAGCCGGTGGCTGGCCCTCCGACGTCTGCGGCGTTGCACCACCAAATCTTCTTTGGTTCGTCTCCTGCTGGCGTTGACTTCGGGTACGGACACCCTCCGTTTCCTCCTTAGGTAAAATCGGCATGATTTATCCCACTTCTGACACCAATTGTTACGAGCTTGAGGTTCGTGACAATAAAAATTGCCGATAAAATTACCTAAATCAACACTTTAATTTTCTTTACACTAATTAAACTTAAAACACTAATAATTAATCACACTGATTCACTTTATTCCGCTCCGAAGCTTCGCTTTTCTCGCCAAATTCAGTACTTCCCCGATCGCACCTTGCAGGGCCTATAAATACACATTAGTACCGAATCATCCAGAACATTCAAGTAAATACGCGCACCAATCGACAAAGCGCCGAAAGTTCGGGAGTAAGCTTCCAGAAGCTTAGTTCTTCGTTTCGACAACAGATGGCGCTGTCGGTTGAAAGATTAGTGATGTCATTTTCTGGAAAGCTCTCCCCTCACTCCGTTACCCGACACTAGATGGCACTAGTGCCGGATGTCAACTTAGCCACGCAACACTGCCCCCTTCTAAGACATGCTCGTCCCGAGCATTATCGGCCCTATAATAACGCGCCAGGCGATCCACATGGACGATCTTAGGGAGTCCCTCTTGCGCCTTTCTGTATCCGGTAGGTTACATCGTTGATCCTGGTCAAAATCCGGTACGGGCCGTCCTTAAGCTTGAAGCTTAGGAGATTTCCCTTTGCGGACTGGATTGTGCAACCACACTAGTGAACCTTCGTCGAACCCTTTGTTGTTCATTTTGCGGTTTTACCGGGTTTTCATCTTTTCAGACATTTGCTGGCCCGATTGTCTGACGTGCTCATAAACGTCATTCATTTTGTTCCGCAAGTCATTTGCATAATCGGTTATACTGCGTGGAGCATCAGGTGGTATCCCGGTGATCAGGTCCGCAGGCAGCCGTAATTCTCTCCCAAAGTTTGCGAAAGCTGGTGTCACTGATGTACTTTCGTGAACAGCGCTTCGATATGACAACAAAAACGGTTGTATGTGCTTGTCCCAATCTCGTTGCCGATTGTCTACAACTTTTGCTAGGTACCTCTCTAATGTCTGATTAAATTGTTCTACCATTCCATTTTTTTTTCTAAAGAGAGCCGGTAAAGGGCTTAGTAATGATCGGATCCAGGTCATTTCATGAGGTATACTGATGGTCACAATGATTATCAGATAGGTGATATCCTTCTTGTGGATGTGGTGTATCATGTAGTCCAATGATTGGACCTCAGGGTCATATCCTCCTACATCCTCATAAGTCACAGGCAGAGACAATTTAGTAGGTATGTGATGTGTGGAGACAAAATCACCAGCAGGTAGGATTGAGTAGGAGTTTTTTCATTTTGGAGCCTGTATTTTGAAGTAAATGGTCCTGGTTGTGGTTCTGGTGATGATAATGGAACTAAAGGCTGAGAATAAGATAATCTGGCTAGAGGTGTATCATCTCCGCAGTCAAATTCGTAATTACGTAGGTCTGTACCTTGGAAGTCTTCTTCGATAAAAATTTCTCATCATCTTATTCTGTCCTTCAATGATGACCTCATCTTCGATATCCGAACTATCGCAACCCGTATAACTGCCATCATCGGAAGGTATATCAACATATTCCGATAAGGCATTCTCAATTTCCCAGTTCAATAAACATCTTCTTTCCATTTTCTGTAAAAATAAAACCAATAGAATTTATATCTACTTTTGAAAACTTTTTTTACGGTGGTTACCATTGCTAACCACTTTAAATTACGCGTTATTATCAAAAACCTATTACGTTTGCCTATTATATTTATATTTGTTATACGTAATTAAGAATATTTCAACAAAAAGAGAATATAAATAATTCATATTTGTAAATAATTACTTACCAACTAAATAAAACAGTTGCGGCACAATGAATTCAAATTTCACCAACTTTCGTTTCAAAGTTTACTTATCCGTCCATCTGTCAAAGCACTGACCATTAACATTGTTCAGATGTCAAAGAGTTAACTTATGCAGTAAACGCATTTCTGCATGTTTAAAGTCTGTTAAATAAACATCTACAATATCATCCCATTTTGATGTTTGCCCATTCAATACTATGTTTTTGCTTATGACACAAAAAAAACTTACGTAGCTCTTCTGCGCTGAGCGGATTTAATTTTTTACAATTTTTTTTCCATCCACTTGAGTCCTATCTCAGTTTTTGAAAAACAGTGCAATTTAACATTATGACGCTTGCTTTCCCAACGCGAAACACAACAAGTTCTGCATGATGAAGAGTACCCTTGTTTCCCAATTTTGAAAGGATGAGCACGCAGATTAACACTTCAACGTAATTTCACTCGATCGATCCTGTATCCTCTTATTAGTCTGTGAATAAAAGTTGTGAAAGTTTGAAACTTAGTCTGTGGTGATAAGAAATGTCATATTCTTAACTCGCGTTTGTCTATGGTTGAAAATAAGGACAAATTTTTGTTCTAAGGTTCCATGCCGTAATAGTTTTATATATTTATTTTAAAAATCTATAGAACCTCATCTATAAAACCTATAGAATAAAGTATATTGCGCTATTAATAGGTCCTTACATATGGAATTGGCGTTTTGTACGGGAGGAATATAAAGTCAATTTTTTTTTTGTAAAATATATTTAATTAATCAAAGTAGGTATGCACCGTTGTTATCTATCAACTTTTGCCATCTCATAAGGTAGTTCATTGATCCCTTTATTAAAAAAAAACCATGGGGGCGACAATCAATAAACTCTGTGTGGTCTTGCGTTGTCGTGAAGCAGCAGTGGCCTAGAGCGATTGACCAATCTCGGTTGTTTAACAGCTAGTTTTTCCTTCATGGTGGAAATAAGCGGTTGTACATCAGTTACGGTTGTGTTTTCGTCTATAGAAAACGTTACTCCTACAGTATCGGCGTCAAAATTATATCTTGGATTAGGGTTGCCATCTCTTAAAATGGAAAAGCCGGACTCAGCGCTCCAAAAAGCCGGACTTTTGGCCGTAAAAGCCGGACAGTAATTTATAGAAAGCCAAATATACCTTTCTGAGGCCATGCAGCCAAAAAACTCACCAACTCCAACCCCCCGAGAAAAAAAAACTACAAAACTCCGTTACATACATTAATTGTTTATTAATCAGTCACAGCACAGTTTCAAGTGTATACGTTACTTATTTACACAGCACAGATTAAAATAAATTTAAACCATTTATTACTTACAATAGTAATCAACAAACCCAGTCTTCTGTTTGTATTTCATATTTTCTTTGAGTTCTTCCACCCGATCTGGGTAAGCCTCCGATAATAAATATAATAATAATTTTTATTTCAGATTTCCAAATAATCCATATAATATGTTAGTAAATATGAAACTTGTAATTTATGTTAGTACCTAAATCTAATTCTTAAACACAAGTTTCTTATCAACTAAACAAAAGCGGTAATATTGCTTAAAAATAAACGAGCCATATCTATCAGCAATTATTTTCATGATAGAGTTGGAGCTAGCCCGCACCCTGCCAAGCAACGAGGCTATTTTCTTTCTTATGATGGCGTGGTAGTCATCTATATGCGCCTTTGCAAACATGCCTGATGCACTGCGAAATCGGGGTAGCCCCAACAAGACCCCGAAGCCGTTATTGTACTGGACGCGTAAGGCGTCGACAGCCCGCTGTGAATAATTCGATCACAGACTGTGTGACAGACGTGTAGAAAATTTGACAGAAGGCTTTAAATAAAGTTATCTTTACTTGCCACTTTACTACACCGAGCCAACCTACGTGCTGACATTACATCGGACTGCTAGCGCCCTACGTTCCCTTTCAATGTCCGCATTGTCGTTTAGGTCATCGGTAACAAAATTTCAAACTGATAAACGCCAAAATGCCAAAATGATAAACGCCGTAAAATTTCAGTTACCTTGATTGAGCAGAAATTTTGTTCTAGCCTATCATTTATAGTCTGCACTATTTGTGAACACTGGTCAATCACTTCGTTGACGGATATATCTGCAGTTTCTGTGCTTTTTAAGACTTTTTATACTTGTTCAAATGGGTTTTAAAATAACCCATTAGGCTTTCTTTCTTTTATTTAATTTCTTCAATAGATATTTGAAAAGGTAACAGTTGCATAATTCGTCGCCAAGCGTCATTTTGCGATGTACGATTTTTAAAACTATTCAGTTTTGGATCCCACAAACAAGGCTCTGTTTGCAGGATCTCGAGAAATGTTGTAACTTTTTCATTACTCCACTCCATCGCAGCCACACGTGCAACCCCGTTGCACTCACCGTGCACAATGAGACAAACCTAGTGTGGCTGCCTTATGCCTTTGTAAAATTATCGCGTTAATTCGTGGCCACACCTATATTCAACGTCCGTCAACGCGATAATTAACGGCATTTCTAGTTAGTGTGGCCCGGCCATCAGGCAGTCATATGCTCTGCAAAAATCTGTTTGTAGTGCCTATCTCTAAGTTTTTTTTTAATTAAGGGCACCAAAACCTCAGCGGACGTATGTTGTCAGAGCACACCTCTAATCGCAGATCCTCAGACCCATCCTCAATAATTCCAAGGACCCAATGGCCCTCAACATGGCGTCCTATAGCAAACATAATATGCTTAAATTACAGTATTTAGAAATTTAAGCGAACAAATAGAACCAGATAAATCAAAATGACCTTTATTATACTTCCGTTTCCCAAATTTTGACTCATTGATCTGCACAACTTTTCTTGGGCCTCCAATTTTTCCACTGTGCTACATTTTTCCAAATAGTATATAACTATGCATTCCCGACAATATTCCGACCAATTGTGGTTCTGCCCAAACAGTGCTCCCTCTCTTCCTTGTATGGATTCCATTTGTGAGCATAAGTATATATTAAATAAAATATGTGCACCAACGGTATATTAATATTCCCAAAAAATGTTCCAGCAGTCCGTAATATTTTTACTTTTAGCTTACATTGGCCTTTCGTGCAAATCCGAGCACCAAACTATTTATTAGCCAATTTCGCCAGTTGTATTGCACGGTGCGGGTGGCATACTTTTTGAGAGTGCATCATTCCATTCGATTCAGCAAAAACAACACACTGTTCATGGGTCCCAAGTTGTTTGATATTTTTTGATAAATTCCACATTTTAACCACTTCCTCCGTTTCATGAAAAAATCGTGATCAGGAACTGTCGACTCAGTCGCAGTCACAGCTCCACCCAACCCTAAGCTCGTAGACGGCCCGAGTTCCGAATGTCAGTTGCCGACATAGCTTGCTTGTCGGTGTCAAGTGAGTAAGCCAAAGTCGTCCAGAGATGCAATCCAATCGGTGTCCAAAGCGGCTACCCCTACCGTCGTCGAAAAATAAGAAGCAAACGGTGTCCAGAGGGGTAGCGAAGTCGTCGAAAAACAGGAGAAGGTAGAAAAAAAACGTTAGGGAGCACATTCACGTAAACTCGGAAGCAACGTAATGACGTAAAGTGTATCTGTCACTGTCAACATAATGGCCGGCTTAGCGATTCATTTTACGTATTTTGAAATGACTTTGATAGACAAAAAAACGTTAGAATTTAGTTAAATGTAGGTACGTTCCATTTCACGTTTATGCTTCTTATATCTACGTATATGGGGGACTACTTCAGATAAACCCCCTTGACCCCCCACAGTGACAGAATCTTCAAATTCAGGTGACTTACTTTCAAACCCAATCATTTTGAGGAATGCCATGTTCATCATTTAACTCTTTGCGGTACAGATTTGTCCTACTAGGAATCAAGATTTTATCATTCATATGTAAGTTCCCTAGAATCCAGGAAAATTTCGTCAGTGATGATATTGTTACGAGCTTGAGGTTCGTGACAATAAAAATTGCCGATAAAATTACCTAAATTAACACTTTAATTTTTTTACACTAATTAAACTTAAAACACTAATAATTAATCACACTGATTCACTTTATTCCGCTCCGAAGCTTCGCTTGTCTCGCCAAATTCAATACTTCCCCGATCGCGCCTTGCAGCGCCTATAAATACACATTAGTACCGAATCATCCAGAACATTCAAGTAAATACGCGCACCAATCGACAAAGCGCCGAAAGTTCGAGAGTCAGCTTCCAGAAGCTTAGTTCTTCGTTTCGACAACAGATGGCGCTGTCGGTTGAAAGATTAGTGATATCATTTTCTGGAAAGCTCTCCCCTCACTCCGTTACCCGTCACTAGATGGCGCTAGTGCCGGATGTCAACTTAGCCGCGCAACACTGCCCCCTCCTAAGACATGCTCGTCCCGAGCATTATCGGCCCCATAATAACGCGCCAAGCGATCCACATGGACGATCTTAGGAGTCCCTCTTGCGCCTTTCTGTATCCGGTAGGTTACATCGTTGATCCTGGTCACAATCCGGTACGGGCCGTCCTTAAGCTTGAAGCTTAGGAGATTTCCCTTTGCTGCGGACTGGATTGTGCAACCACACTAGTGAACCTTCGTCGAACCCTTTGTTGTTCATTTTGCGGGTTTACCGGGTTTTCATCTTTTCAGACATTTGCTGGCCCGATTGTCTGACGTGCTCATAAACGTCATTCATTTTGTTACGCAAGTCATTTACATAATCGGTTATACTGCGTGGAGCATCAGGTGGTATCCCGGTGATCAGGTCCGCAGGCAGCCGTAATTCTCTCCCAAAGTTTGCGAAAGCTGGTGTCACTGATGTACTTTCGTGAACAGTGCTTCGATATGACAACAAAAACGGTTGTATGTGCTTGTCCCAATCTCGTTGCCGATTGTCTACAACTTTGGCTAGGTACCTCTCCAATGTCTGATTAAATCGTTCTACCATTCCATCAGATTTTTTTCTAAAGAGAGCCGGTAAAGGGCTTAGTAACGATCGGATCCAGGTCATTTCATGAGGTATAGAAGAGTGTCAATCTTCCGCTGGGCTTCTCTCAGATCCCTCCGCATCCGGTATAGAGGAGACAGAAAGAGGATCCACACGCCACTGATGGTCACAATGATTATTAGATAGGTGATATCCTTCTTGTGGATGTGGTGTATCATGTAGCCCAATGATTCGACATATCCTCCTACATCCTCATAAGTCACGGGCAGAGGAGCGTGATTTGATGCCGCTGTAGTGTCTCTCTCCCAAGATGGAGGGTTGAACGTATAATTGGAGCGGAGAGGCGAGATACTCAGGTGAGGAAGAGAGGTGTTTAACATGGTCACGCTCCCGTTTTGAACAGAAGCTACCCCTCCTCGATATCCTACATATCTTGGCCTGCAGGGTACAACCGGGCTCTGGCTAAGGATTTCCTCAGTTGCGGGGTCGTAGTATCCTGTGTGGTTTCGGGATGTGTCCTCTGAGATCCAAAACCTCACTTTGGGGTGTTGATGACATAATGGAGAGGGGATAAACTCCCACTTGTCCACCATGTTGCATCCCCACACCATGAGCACGGGTCCGTCAGCATCTGCTACTAAGTTGTCCTTGTCCAGTAACTGCCTGGCCAATGTGGTAGGTGCTGAGCTGGAAGACATCCAAAACAGGGTCTTGATTTGTGATATGATGTGACATAGCATCCTCGTGTCTCTTGATAGTCGAAGAGTTTCTTCTTCCAAATACATGATCTTTTGGATGTCTTCGGATGTGTCTCTCTGGGTTCGCCGAGGTTTAGGACTGGTCTTGGAAGGAATCCATCTCAGCCTCACCATCTCACCCGTGATGCTGATGAATTCTGAGTCCCAACCCTCTCCTGGGATGGCGGTTTCTTGCACCTTATATAAGGTCCTGTTCCTCCTGTCGGCGAGCCTGTTCCTGCAGCATCAAATCAGCAAGTCATCTTCAAAAAAATTTTCTGTATCTAATGTTTGATTACTTTCATATACTCCTCGTAGGAAACTATCCATCGTTTCGAATGCAAACCAATTAGTTGTATACACGCCCTATGTGCCAGCTCCGGATTTCAAAGACTTTTTATACTTGTTCATATGGGTTCTAAAATAACCCATTAGGCTTTCTTTCTTTTATTTAATTTCTTCAATAGATATTTGAAAAGGTAACAGTTGCATAATTCGTCGCCAAGCGTCATTTTGCGATGTAGGATTTTTAAAACTATTCAGTTTTGGATCCCACAAACATGGCTCTGTTTGCAGGATCTCGAGAAATGTAACTTTTTCATTACTCCACTCCATCGCAGCCACACGTGCAACCCCGTTGCACTCACCGTGCACAATGAGACAAACGTAGTGTGGCTGCCTTATGACTTTGTAAAATTATCGCGTTAATTCGTGGCCACACCTATATTCAACGTCCGTCAACGCGATAATTAACGGCATTTCTAGTTAGTGTGGCCCGGCCATCAGGCAGTCATATGCTCTGCAAAAATCTGTTTGAATTGTGGTGCCTATCTCTATAAGTTTTTTTTAATTAAGGGCACCAAAACCTCAGCGGACGTATGTTGTCAGAGCACACCTCTAATCGCAGATCCTCAGACCCGTCCTCAATAATTCCAAGGACCCAATGGCCCTCAACATGGCGTCCTATAGCAAACATAATATGCTTAAATTACAATATTTAGAAATTTAAGCGAACAAATAGAACCAGATAAATCAAAATGACCTTTATTATACTTCCGTTTCCCAAATTTTGACTCATTGATCTGCACAACTTTTCTTGGGCCTCCAATTTTTCCACTGTGCTACATTTTTCCAAATAGTATATAACTATGTATTCCCGACAATATTCCGACCAATCAACAATTGTGGTTCTGCCCAAACAGTGCTCCCTCTCTTCCTTGTATGGATCCTCGTTCATCGTGATTTGATAGCTCAATTTGTGAGCATAAGTATATATTAAATAAAATATGTGCACCAACGGTATATTAATATTCCCAAAAAATGTTCCAGCAGTCCGTAATATTTTTACTTTTAGCTTACATTGGCCTTTCGTGCAAATCCGAGCACCAAACTATTTATTAGCCAATTTCGCCAGTCGTATTGCACGGTGCGGGTGGCATACTTTTTGAGAGTGCATCATTCCATTCGATTCAGCAAAAACAACATATTGTTCATGGGTCCCAAGTTGTATATTTTTTGATAAATTCCACATTTTAACCACTTCCTCCGAATTTAAGTGTCGATCAACAAACGGGTTTTTCATTTATGAAGAAATCGTGATCAGGAACTGTCGACTCAGTCGCAGTCACAGCTCCACCCAACCCTAAGCTCGTAGACGGCCCGAGTTCCGAATGTCAGTTGCCGACATAGCTTGCTTGTCGGTGTCAAGTGAGTAAGCCAAAGTCGTCCAGAGATGCAATCCAATCGGTGTCCAAAGCGGCTACCCCTACCGTCGTCGAAAAATAAGAAGCAAACGGTGTCCAGAGGGGTAGCGAAGTCGTCGAAAAACAGGAGAAGGTAGAAAAAAAAAACGTTAGTGAGCACATTCACGTAAACTCGGAAGCAACGTAATGACGTAAAGTGTATCTGTCACTGTCAACATAATGGCCGGCCTAGCGATTCATTTTACGTATTTTGAAATTATTTTGATAGACAAAAAAACGTTAGAATTTAGTTAAATGTAGGTACGTTCCATTTCACGTTTATGCTTCTTATATCTACGTATATGGGGGACTACTTCTGATAAACTCCCTTGACCCCCCACAGTGACAGAATCTTCAAATTCAGGTGACTTAACTTCAAACCCAATCATTTTGAGGAATGACATGTTCATCATTTAACTCTTTGCGGTACAGATTTTAATTTTCAGAGAAAATCAAATATTTTTGTTTATATCAAATAAGATAAGAATAGTTTTAAGTAGTTTTGTTGGTTTTTCATGTGTAGATTAGTAGTGGGGTTATATACGGGGTGGTTATCGTGGGTAACCACTGTGAGAAAAATGGCTAAATATAGTCTTTATTTTTTATTATCAAACAATTATGTTTTACACATTTTTGACACATTTAGGAACAATAAATCCTTCATACATACATACATAAAAATACGAAATTTGTTCGCACTACTCAATAAAAAAAAGAGTTGCGTTTTACTAAAGACTACAACGTCATCTAGCGTGCAAGGTACACTATTTCGAAAACGGAAATCTCGCTCACATTTCTATCTCTGGTATATAGTGGTATTCTATGAATGGAATCCTGCCACTTAGTAATCACTATTCGGTGGACTGTGTACTCATTTGTAATACTTTTGATATTGAAAAATTTCCGGTAGCGACCGAAAGATGGCGCTTAAACAAGAATCGAGTGGAAACGTTCGTAATATATTCGCAGATCCAAAACAGCCTGGCTCAAGGCATGTTCCTGGCTGGCGGACGCGGAGGCTACGCTGGCGCCGCACTGCAGGGCCCCCTCGCTTACTTGGAAAAAACGGCCACCAATATAGGTATAATAGTAGAGTAAGCTTTGTGCCGTTAGTGGCGGTGTAAGAATACCCACTACCACATATAGTCCCGTGGGTGTCGTAAGGGGCGACAGAGGGACATTGAAAGGCGGGTGATGGGCATCAGCACCTTCCTGGTAACAACTCAAAATAATTAAAAAACTGCCATTCGCCAGGCGTGTCAACTATGGCAAAATCCTCCCTATGAGGCAATCTATGGGGGAGGCCTGTGTTCAGCAGTGGACTTTAATAGACTGTAATGGAACCTTTATTGTGGAAAGTCAGAATGTGTGAAAAGAGTCTCGTATTGCAGTTCACGATGCCGTGTAAGTTTCTTTACTGTATGGTATTGGTAGTGAAGGTGTGATGTGGCAAAAGATGCACGAGAGTAGGATAAATGCTGTAAAAATGCGGTCATTAAGGAGTATGTTATGGCTGAATCTGAATAATAGGGTGAGAAATTGTGTGATAAGATTTTTCTTAGTGAATTATGGTGGCCAAAACACGAATGACACCTTTTGGCTCGATAGAAAAAGATAGCAGTATCCTCAAAATCTACAATTTTAGGTACGTCCACTAAGTGAAAAAGCAGTTTCATTCGAGTGTAATGAAATCAATTTCAATTAAATTCAGGCTATGTGTTCACCAGTAAATATATTTTAAAAAGAAATATCAAATAAATATTGTGCGATTAATTAGCGCGCGGGCCGACCAAACAGTCCATATACATACATATAAAGCGTGAAAAATCTGCTTTTGGCGCCCATTTCACCTCAGTTATTTTGCAACTGCAAATGACTCATCTTTCTAATGCGCGATTGGCTGCTATCGCCTCACTTGACGGATTGCTTCACATGACGTTCAGTCTGGTTATTCATTGAACAGTCTGATCGGCACGTTTAAAAGCAAGGGAATAGTTACAACATCTATCGGAAGGTCGAAGTTCATAAGATCGCTTCCTACGACAATCACTGGACGAAATGCGGTGATGATTAATTTACGCTGCCGCAATAGGAAGAAACCTACTTACTATTTATTTTATATATTTCAGACATGGTTGGTCTGGGTGACGGGCGCAGGTGACGCGGCCGCGGGAGGGGCAGGGGCCGTGGCCGGGGCAGAGGCCGAGGTATGAGACCACATTTCTTCATCACCATCAATATTATCCTTATCATCTTCCTTCCACCTGAAAAAATATCTACAATTTGTAGACTAGGACATACAAGCGCATGTTCCGCGCGGGATTCGAACTCGCGGACCGCAGCACCGCAGCTTAACTTTCAGTCCTTCATTGCATAGATTTTGTACCTGATTACTGGCGTTAAGTCAACAATATATTTAATGACGTTACGTTTATCATAACGAACCAACGTTAAAAACGAACGCTAGAACCAGACTAACCGACATAGCCAAACGGAATAATAAACTGAAGTGGCAATGGGCCGGCCACATTGCTCTAAGAACCGATAACCGATGGAGAAAAAAGGTTCTCGAGTGGCAGTCTCGTACCGGCAGGCGAATTGTGAGGCGGCCCCCCACTAGATCGTGTGACAACCTGCTAAGACATGCAGGAATCCCTCACTAGATCGTGTGACAACCTGGTAAGACATGCAGGAATCCCCCACTAGATCATATGACAACCTGGTAAGACATGCAGGAAGTCGATGGATACAGTTGGCTCAGGAGCATGCTTTGTGGCATTTCTTGGGGGTGGCCTGTGTTCAGCAGTGAACTTGTGAAAAGCTGTAATGATAATGATAATAATTACGTTTATCGTCATTTAGAAACTCGCCCTCGTACGAATATTACAATACGTGAGTGTAATATGGTCATCCGGTTAATATAGTCACTTTCTTATAACTAAAATTACAGCCTTGTGTACATATATGGCTTTGTCATATGATGGCTCTTCATCTGTCAATCGAATAATAAAGGGTCAAAAGGGCGCTGCTTTTTTGGCCGCCATTTTGACAGTTGACATTACAGTAAATATTTTAGTCGATTTTAGTGTGGCGTAGTGCAGTTAGTTTTTTAAAGTTGATTTTTCGAAGTGTTTATAATTATTGCCTAAGCTTGTTTGCTATTTTTTTCTTAATATATTAGTTATAGTATTTGACTTTGTGGTTTCGTCTCCGTCCTCCTTCTAGTTTTGGTTTTATAGAGCGGCAAAGCTTAAGGTGATCCTCACGTACCTAATTACGGGGGTACCTAATTTAGAGAATCGCAGC